ATGCAGAGTGACATTGTTATTAAAAAATAAAAATAAACAAATATTGGATATCTATTTACCTGCACAATATTGCGGTGACGTAGCTGGGAGTGTAATTTGATTTCTTCATGCAACGGTTGCACATCCTGTGAATTTCGCTCCGGCACTTCTTTTATGGCAATACGAACTTGCGTCTGTTTGTCGCGCGCTGCATAGACGGTGCCAGTAGGTGCCTTTGCCAAGGATGATTTTACGATTTTGATCATCATAGTCGTATTCGTACTGTAGTAAAAAGAAATACAAATTTTAACAAACGTTGAAAATACGAATCGAGTAACTTTGAAAAAATTCATACCTCAATTTGTCGCATTTCATCGACGTCCAAATTCACAAACACCTCCTGGTCCGATGCCATTTCCAATATTAACTCATAAAATTTTTGTCGACATTCCGTAGAGGGAAAATAAATTTGAAAATCGTCTGAATTGTGATGCACATATAGGTAGGCACAACGGTCGTCGCGCTTATACAAGCTCACAGACTTTATTTGCGAAGCAGTGAACACAAAATCATGTACTTTTTTGCAAGCGTTCTTCGAATGCGCCAAACAAATATTAATAATTTGTATAGATTTTTCATCAGCGTCCATATTAATGTTGACATAACTAGGCATATAGATTTTTTGTGGTTCTAGAATCTAAGTTTAAAAAATAATCAGTTAATTTATATTCTGTTTATGTATGTTTTAACCAAAGCAAACTTACGAGTATCGGCATGCGTACACTGGTGATCTCCTCTGTATTGGTCGCTACCATAAAAAAGTCCATCCAAAATTGAAAGATTTGCTCTTCCACAGAGTAAATGTGATCTTCGGGCTTCTTGCGAAATCGATGAATCAACAAAATATTGCCTATCGTTGACTTAAGATACCAATTAGGTGGCTTCAACTTGAACATACACTCTGCCGCTTGTATGGCTTTCGCATAATCCTCTGCGAGCACTGAAATTTCAAAGAAAGTCGCCACATCCCAATACTCAGTCAGTGACGACAAGCTGCCTTTTTTGCCAATCAAATTATTCAAGGTAATACCAATATTTTGCAACTCTTCTGTATTACTGAACTCCTTGCCATCAATTACGAGCAACGTAGCTAAATTAATGCCCGCATACTCATTAGGTTGCACTTCGAAACTTTGACGATACCATTTTATAGCATTTTTCAAACTATCTTTGTCCTCATAATCAGACTCCACAAATATATCCTTATAAATGCGACCACACAAACATAACATATCGGGAAACTCATTTTCCTTTTTCTCTAAAGCCTTCAACGATGAAGCAAGCGCCTTCTCACGATCACCCTTGCGGTTACGTCGATTTAACGCGAAGGCGTAGAGAAAACTCATATTTCCAGTCTCAACGTATTTTCTGGTGTTCGGTATATTTCGTAGATCGCTCACCAAACGCACCATCGCATCATAATCTTGCACGTCACGCAATGAACACATAAAACTATGCACCACCTCACCGGATAGCACATGTACATCATCCAAACGCTTACGCATTTCATGCAGTATCTTTTGTAACCTCGAGGCATTGGCCCCATAAGTTTCACGCGCTGAACGCAGGTCAGCTAAGAATTTTTCGCGCATATGAGCTCTGTAACAAGAGTGAAAACAGGTAATGGGATATCTATCTTAAAGGCAAAACTATTTGAGGTTAAATTACATACTTTGACTGAATTTCCACATCCTGCAGTAGACGCTTTAGGCGCGATAGTAGAGTGGGCATTTTCGTGTCTGCCGGCAGTTCTTTATTAAAATTGGTAAGATAGCAGGTGGAAGTCTCTTCGTTGCGTTTGTACGATAAAAATTGATAATTGGCACAGGAAAGCTGTAAAGAGTCGACAAGATAAATTATAGGTGAGATATGAGATAAGAAGACGGGTAAGAATTATATGTGGAGGATGAGTTAGCGTAAAGGAGATACTCTGAAAAAAAAATATCCGCCTTCGATGCGCCGAGGACTGCAAATGTACCGAAAGTATTCTATGCTGANCTGCAGTAGACGCTTTAGGCGCGATAGTAGAGTGGGCATTTTCGTGTCTGCCGGCAGTTCTTTATTAAAATTGGTAAGATAGCAGGTGGAAGTCTCTTCGTTGCGTTTGTACGATAAAAATTGATAATTGGCACAGGAAAGCTGTAAAGAGTCGACAAGATAAATTATAGGTGAGATATGAGATAAGAAGACGGGTAAGAATTATATGTGGAGGATGAGTTAGCGTAAAGGAGATACTCTGAAAAAAAAAAATAGCCGCCTTCGATGCGCCGAGGACTGCAAATGTACCGAAAGTGTTCTATGCTGGAATCCGGACATGTATCGATTGTCAAAGCACTTACAAAGGAAGTCGATGACTCTAAAACGGAAATGACTGCTCGCTATCGGATATGAAGAAAAATCCAAATAGAAAAACAGCAGCGCCAAATAATTTTTAATTCGAATGCGAATTTCAGTTACGTTACCCAATTAATAAAGCTAAGCAAACAAAAAGAAAACGGGTAAAGCAAAATAAAAAAAAAAACACAAAAACCGTAAATACACATAAACTTGTAAAAGTAAACAAATGCGGAGGAAGTAACAAAACAAAAATGCAAGCAAAACAAACACGGTATACCCACATGAACTGACGCACACACACATAAAAATATGCAAACAAAAACAATAACAACAAAAACCGCAATGCAACAGCAAAAGATATTTATAAAGCGNGTCTGCCGGCAGTTCTTTATTAAAATTGGTAAGATAGCAGGTGGAAGTCTCTTCGTTGCGTTTGTACGATAAAAATTGATAATTGGCACAGGAAAGCTGTAAAGAGTCGACAAGATAAATTATAGGTGAGATATGAGATAAGAAGACGGGTAAGAATTATATGTGGAGGATGAGTTAGCGTAAAGGAGATACTCTGAAAAAAAAAAATAGCCGCCTTCGATGCGCCGAGGACTGCAAATGTACCGAAAGTGTTCTATGCTGGAATCCGGACATGTATCGATTGTCAAAGCACTTACAAAGGAAGTCGATGACTCTAAAACGGAAATGACTGCTCGCTATCGGATATGAAGAAAAATCCAAATAGAAAAACAGCAGCGCCAAATAATTTTTAATTCGAATGCGAATTTCAGTTACGTTACCCAATTAATAAAGCTAAGCAAACAAAAAGAAAACGGGTAAAGCAAAATAAAAAAAAAAACACAAAAACCGTAAATACACATAAACTTGTAAAAGTAAACAAATGCGGAGGAAGTAACAAAACAAAAATGCAAGCAAAACAAACACGGTATACCCACATGAACTGACGCACACACACATAAAAATATGCAAACAAAAACAATAACAACAAAAACCGCAATGCAACAGCAANTTAAACTATGTTCACATATCAATATTATCTCAATCAAAGCTCGTTTTTTAATCACCCCGTTTACACAGGCAAATCTCAGATTATTAGCCGTCAAATTTGTTGTGCTTGTTATTCTCACATCTCAAGGAAAAGTTATGTTTCTTCTCTGTGCCACCGTGATCACGTTTGTATGCTATAATAAGCAATATAAATATATTTTAACTTAACATTTTATTACAAATGCCTTTACAAACCTCCTTTCGTTGCTAGCCTACATTTTTGTTTACTTTTACATTTGGCATTTCTCTNAATTTTTAATTCGAATGCGAATTTCAGTTACGTTACCCAATTAATAAAGCCAAGCAAACAAAAAGAAAACGGGTAAAGCAAAAGAAAAAAAAACACAAAAACCGTTAAGACACATAAACTTGTAAAAGTAAACAAATGCGGAGGAAGTAACAAAACAAAAATGCAAGCAAAACAAACACGGTATACCCACATGAACTGACGCACACACACATAAAAATATGCAAACAAAAACAATAACAACAAAAACCGCAATGCAACAGCAAAAGATATTTATAAAGCGCCTTAAACTATGTTCACATATCAATATTATCACAATCAAAGCTCGTTTTTTAATCACCCCGTTTACACAGGCAAATCTCAGATTATTAGCCGTCAAATTTGTTGTGCTTGTTATTCTCACATCTCAAGGAAAAGTTATGTTTCTTCTCTGTGCCACCGTGATCACGTTTGTATGCTATAATAAGCAATATAAATATATTTTAACTTAACATTTTATTACAAATGCCTTTACAAACCTCCTTTCGTTGCTAGCCTACATTTTTGTTTACTTTTACATTTGGCATTTCTCTTTTTTTTTGCAAAAACAATCGATAAAACTAGGATAGACACCGAAAAGTTATCGGTTTAATCTGAGATTATTTTATAATTACAGATTAACAAGGGACGAATTTTATATGGCTAATCTCTTGTTATAATTACAGATTAGGGTGTTAAGCTCGAAAATGAGGATAATCTACTTATATGTGAACCTAGTATAAGGCGTCTGTGTCGATTGATATGTATGTGCTGTTACAACCNAATATGCAAACAAAAACAATAACAACAAAAACCGCAATGCAACAGCAAAAAATATTTATAAAGCGCCTAAGGCGTCTGTGTCGATTGATATGTATGTGCTGTTACAACCACAACAACAACAACAACAACAATAAGAACATTAATATGTATAAATAAAAATGCGAGCAAATATAAATTATAGACTAGAATAAAACGTTGGCGATCGTGGCAGATATTGTAGGGGGTGGAGCGGGTGTATTTTAGGTCCAGTAGCAATAATAAAAGATAAAATTTACTGAAGCCAATTTAAATAGCAACAAAAACAATATTTGGTGTGCCTACACTAAATTCATATAACACACTCTTTTTTATTGCTGTTGTTTACTTAACGAACTGGTTGGCTACGCCAAATCCGTGGGCGTTCTGCTATTGCAGTAGGGAAGACGGCATAAAAGTATTGTATAACAATAAATAGCGAGGAATGTGCGCACTGTATTGTTCAACGCAGCGGCGGGCCGGAAGTGGATTACAGCGTGAAAGTTTCTATAAGTTACATAAAATTCGACTAGCAGCAATTATGTACATACATATGTACTCATAGCCAGCCAGTGGAGCCATAACTTTCCTGCAATTAGCAACGAATTGACTTTCCTACAGGTTCAGTGTTCTCCGCACACATAAGTACGNACTCATAGCCAGCCAGTGGAGCCATAACTTTCCTGCAATTAGCAACGAATCGACTTTCCTACAGGTTCAGTGTTCTCCGCACACATAAGTACCCACTAGAAGAGCCACACTCGAAGCAATGATTTGATAACGAGAGGAATGCAATAAAAATTATATATAAAAGGAATGTGTTTTATGCTGTCACTATTAATTAATCAAAAAAGATATCAAAGGTCCCACAGCAAGCAAGAAGCTTTGATTATTCTTTCGCTTTCAATTGAATTGAATTTGATTGGTGATGCGCGTAGGAGAATTTCATTTCAATGCACTGAAGTGTGGTTAAATTGAACAGATGCGACAAGGTGTTTTGCGGTTAGCCAATGCCGCGCAACTAAGCAAAACAAATTATCTTATCGCTAACAGTATTACTAGCAACAAAGAAATTTAAAGCGCAGCAAAGCTACTTATTTGCCGAAATTAGTATTGGCAGAATTATGTGTTAATTGATTGCAAAATGCTACAACATCTAAACTCCGCGCCTGAAATTCTACTAATTATGCTAATAAAATTTATCGAAATGCAGTTTCAGCGTTTACTACTCACACACCTTGAGGCACAATGTCTGCTTGGATTGTACATCATTATAGACGATAATGTTCCCTTTCATACCGAAGCTCTCGCGTACTCCCAGATGGTAGGACAGTGATCGCTGTTGCACCAGTATACTTAAATCAATTATCGCCACATCTGCATTGTAGAATGTTTCTAGCATGTTCGTTTCACCGAAATCGAGTTTGTCGAACTATAAAATGAAAGGTAAAATATGAAAAATGGGCATTCCTTAAATTCGTATAGTTTAATTATCCACCTGCACACGCTGAAAATTGGCACCGACCGATTGTATGGCCTGCTTCATTTCTTCCAAAGCGCACTTGCGATCCTCAAGATATTCGGTAATTTGTGTATCAATTACAACAGCTACATCCATTTTGCTAAATAATACACTTTTCAATTGGGAATTTGTAATAACTTTAGGGTTTAGCGCATCGCCTACGCAAGAATGTGTGCCTCGCCCTTCTACAACTCCCTTTTGTCTTAACCAGTACTTTTGCTAGCTCTTCACCTTGAAGATATGAACAGCATGCGCACTTCTTTCCGAGCTTGTCGTGGTTGGTGAAACAACTTCGCAGAACACGCCTAGCTAAAAAAAAAAGAATGCAGCAACCGCAGTTGAAGTGTAGCAGGTAGCAGCCTCCTACTCTGCCTCCTTTAGCAACAATAGTAATGGTGGCACTGCGCCATTGGAATTCGCGTGCTCTTTCAATTGGCGTTAGGGTTATAAATCATTTGCACTCTACTTGTTGTTTTACGCAAGCTTTTGTTACTTTTCTCTACTGTTAAATCGCAAGTAGCCACTTCACTAATATCTGGCTATATATTCCACTTTTTCACAGACAATCGACAATTCGGCAAATTGGCGGACACACACAAGAGAAAAAAAATAACGCTGTTGATCTCAAATTGGGATTTTTCTTGCTTCTAGCATGAATTTAAAATGTCAATTGGTTGTAGAGATTTCGGAAAAATATCGATGCATCGCAAATATCGCAAATATTTTCTACTCGATGCATAAACAGTCGATGTATCGATGCATACATGCATCGATTTTTTTTCAAAACTGACATCTGTAGTACATTGAACCGTCATTCCAGTTTTTTAATAGTACAAAAAACAGAAGTGACTTTGACACAAAAATTGAAATGGCTGCAAAAAGTTCGGTTAGAAACCTAATTCGCTCAGTTGCAATAATTTATCTCTAACTGTGTACAATTTAGCTATTAACATCTTTTGTTTGGAAATATTATCGGAAAAATCCTATGCAATCGATCATGATTCAATAATACAAGGTTAGATAATTATTGACAGCTGCGGTTTGAAAGGGGAGGAATAAAATCTCTNTGTAGTACATTGAACCGTCATTCCAGTTTTTTAATAGTACAAAAAACAGAAGTGACTTTGACACAAAAATTGAAATGGCTGCAAAAAGTTCGGTTAGAAACCTAATTCGCTCAGTTGCAATAATTTATCTCTAACTGTGTACAATTTTGCTAATAACATCTTTTGTTTGGAAATATTATCGGAAAAATCCTATGCAATCGATCATGATTCAATAATATTATTGAATCATGACAATCTATGTACAATTCGATGCATCGAATCAAAGAAAAACATGGATGTATTTTTGCCACTGGCATCCCTAATTGGCTNCCAAAGCTACACTGTTTCCATGTAAATGTGCAAAGAAGCAACACGGTGCCACTGCTAAGGGAGCGGTGCGAGAGAGACAACTGTCAGTTTATCGAACCTTGTATTATTGAATCATGACAATCTATGTACAATTCGATGCATCGAATCAAAGAAAAACATCGATGTATTTTTTCCACTGGCATCCCTAATTGGTTGTGTTCAGAGCGCAACTATTTAAGAGTTTATCCGTAAATGAAATTAAAACTAAACGATTTGTGGGTAGAAAACAACATTTTAATGGCTCAAATTTAACGCAAACTGAAATGTTTAAGATATTGGCGGCCGCTGTTGTGTAGTCGTAAACGGTGCGCGCTTCCACTCCTCAGACCCTCGCTTCCAGTCCTGGTCAAAGTAACATCGCAAAAAAAAAAATAAGAAAACGATTTTTTCTTAACAGCTGCCCCTTGGGCAGGAAATGGAAAATCTCCGAGTGTATTTCTGCCATGGAAAACAGCTTCTCATAAAAATGCAATCGCCGTTCGGAGGCGGCGTAAAACTGTAGGCCCCTCCTTTTTTTGTGACAACGTCAAGGCGCACGCCACAAAAAAGGAGGAGAAGTTCGGCCAAATACTAACGTATGTGTAAGCGCCGTTCTATTATTTTTATTATTGTAGAAATTATAACCCAAAGACTTTTTTGACATAGTGTCCAGAATTTTACTACATATTTGAGACAAATACAAATCTTTAAGTCGAGCATTGCGTTCCACAACTTTAAAATTTCCGATATTATAAGTTTAAGTATGGCAGCACAAACGGTTTTAACAGAGTTGCCAAAACCAATATTGTCGTCGGATCCAAATTGACAAGATTATAAAAGTGCAAGATCTTTAATTACAGACGACCAGACTTGCAGCATCCAATTAGATAAATTATTGGTAGGAAACGGATTTTATGGGAATTGCCTTTTTTTCTGCTAAAGAGACAGTGTATATTCGATTAAGAATGTTCACGATATAGTTATAGAAAACTTCAAATGCATCTTGTGGTTCAATGTTAATACAACTATAGAGATAAACGTCTTGCTGCCTATTTCGCTATTTTATTTAGGTCTTAAAAATCCGTTCCCTGATTATTGACATTGTAAATGTACGAACGGAAGGCTGGGAAGGTTAAAATTTTAATTTTTACACATTTTTCGATCCAAGTTATAAATCCAAATTTTTATTACACTTTCTGGAAGATTAGAAAGTAATATATATATATATAAATCTAAAGAATGATTTCTTTCAACTCTTTTAGTTCAATATGTTTTTTTATTTGTTTCGTTTATATTGCATTTTTACTTCAAAATAACCAGTAGCCAAGGGATCCCAAACATTTCGTACCTCTACCAAGTATTGGCAGCTCTGTTTATGCTTCGAGTGCCACGGTTGCCACTTGTTAAAAATATAACCAACCTGAATAAAAAACAACCACATTTGCTAGCCACTTATCTATTACAAAAAAAAAAAAAATCAACTATTTTGTTGAGTTTGAGGCAGGAAAAACAACATATTTTTCTTTTTATATGAGTTTGAAAAATTCATTTATTAACTTTTGGCATTCAGTATGCAATAACACTTTTTGTAAAGAAAAAATTTGCTAATTTCCTATTAAAAAAAAAAAACACCAAACCAGAGAAAAAACTACCAAACCACCAACAGTGGCAACCGTGTCGAGCGCATTCGCGTTGCACTCGTACTCAAAAAACGCCATTCGGAAAAAATGAGCAACGACCAAGTCAGTGTTGCCGTTTCGTCGCTAAAGGGGAAATTTGAAAAATTTTAAGCGCACATACCCATTGACCCGACATTTCGAAAATTTGGATTTTTTTACCCTTTTCCAAAATTATGTGTGACTTTTGCGTCTTTTCAGATTTTTTTAGGAAATTTAAACATAATGTTAAGTACGAAAAATGCATCACTTAAAACTTTTACAGGAAATGCAATTCTTCTCCTTGCAACAATTAGATTTACGTGTATTTTTGCAACCCTTTTTTGTGCAAAGCATGTCAAGCTATTTTCTTCTTAAATTCCACATATTTATTCTATTACTGGTAAAGAAAAGCAAAAATAATATGGATACCATTTTTTTCGCCAATGACCTCTTTTATGAGACTTCCGGAAAATTCTCACCGGCAACACTGGACCAAGTTGAGTGAATTTAATAGGAAAACAGAAACACAGAAGCGGATAGAGTAGCGTCGCAGCACAACCGATGGAAAACGCAGCGGAAACGGCAAATAGTTCGAAGTAGTGAAAAGTTGTGCAGTAGAAAATTTGCAAATTTCACTGAAAGTTAAATTAAAAAGTGTGAAAACGGTTAAAAACTCGAGGAAAAGTGCGATAGTAAATCGAGAAAAGATGCAAAGTATTATCTAATGGGCGAGTTCGTGAAATATTGTGGATTATAAGTGTGTACTGCATGTGAAAGTGAAGAATATCTACTAGTGTTCTACTGTTGTATTAACAAAAAAAGGTCAAAAGGAAGCAGTAGCAGCAACATTAAAAACCAAATATAAAACGCTAAAATGGGTTTGAACGGCTGCTGTTCGTGTGTAAAATACTTGATGGTGCTTATAAACATCCTATTTTGGGTATGTACAATGTGGAGGCAATTTAGGACGAGTGGGTGGTATAAAAATATATATTAATATACATTCATGCATACATACATATATAAATAAGTACATACATATGAATGTATCCTTATTGGGCGGTGGGTGTTCAGTCGGTTTATGAACATCCTATTAGTTGAATATGTAACGAAATCTCTGGGTGTACTATGTGTCGGATTCGGGTGATGCTCTCTGAAATATTCGTAAATCGCTAAACAGAGATTCATAGCGGAGATAAGTGTGCGGCATAACCTACATATATAAGGAATATAATTAAAAATATGTATGTATTTTGATACATACATATGTACACAGATGAAATGCATTCAAGAAATCTACTATCGAAGCACAAATCGCTAAAAATCCTATTGTCCTTTGTCGATGATTGCCAAATGTACTAAATTTATGTACATACATACATAAATATACATATGTATGAATGCGCATTAGGGTGGCCAAAAAAAAAATCGGAATTTGACTAGGACTGTTCTATACCGAAAAAAATTATACCCCTGTTTTTTTATTTTGATATCAAAAAATGAGGTTGCTCAAAGCGCTCAATATTGTCCATGCATTTTATGTAGGAGAAAAAGCATGTTTTTGTAGAAATGGTATGGAATTCTTGAAAACCATTAAGGCTGTTCAGGATGTTGTAGAAATGGTATTGGATTTGCAGTTGGAATTGCATTTGCAAATTTTTTGTTTGCTGCCATGACAACCGTGTGCATTTTACTGTTGTGCAATGCAATGAATACTCNATATAAGTAAAATACATAGAAAACTTTGAGCGCTTTGAGCGACCTATTTCAATATAAAAAAAAACAGCTGTAAAGTTGTTTTTCGATATAGAACAGTCCTAGGGGGTGAGAGCATTAAAATTCCGACTTTATTTTCTCACATGTATGTATTTTTGGACCGCCCTAACGTACTTACATATTTATTTACGTGCATATGTACAAGCGCAGCACATACATATTTATGTATGTATGTCCATATTAGTATAGTTTCGTTCGCAAATTTGTCGGTTTTTTGGTGGGATTTGTGTGACAGAAGCGATTACTGCCGGAAATAGTTGACCACTTTTATGTAGGATTATGAATAGCTGCCGTCAAATATATATATTATTTGTATGTACATATAAATAACTTGTAATGTATATACATATGTACATAAGTGACANTCTTTTTTACCCCATATAAGTAAAATACATAGAAAACTTTGAGCGCTTTGAGCGACCTATTTCAATATAAAAAAATAGCTGTAAAGTTGTTTTTCGATATAGAACAGTCCTAGGGGGTGAGAGCATTAAAATTCCGACTTTATTTTCTCACATGTATGTATTTTTGGACCGCCCTAACGTACTTACATATTTATTTACGTGCATATGTACAAGCGCAGCACATACATATTTATGTATGTATGTGCATATTAGTATAGTTTAGTTCGCAAATTTGTCGGTTTTTTGGTGGGATTTGTGTGACAGAAGCGATTACTGCCGGAAATAGTTGTCTACTTTTATGTTGGATTATGAATAGCTGCCGTCAAATATATATATTATTTGTATGTACATATAAATAACTTGTAATGTATATACATATGTACATAAGTGACACTAAATACTTGTTATATCCAAGTATCTCTTCGCAAGCAATTGTCTAGTAGCTAACAAATTTGGGCTCTCTGGTACCCTGTAAATATGTACATATGTATGTATATGTAGTATGTATATACATAATTTTGTATTTATGTAACTACATGCACAAATTTATTGCTGGCGCTATATTTTCCCACCTTTCTTTGGTATTTAAACGCCCTAGGCTGGAGTTGACTACAAACTAACGAGTAAGCGATGCAGCCGATGCACGTAACATACATTTGTATTTATGTTTGTATGGACATGTTACCTACGCACATGTGTGTATAAACTGACAGCACACAATGCAGTAAGCCCGCACAAAGTGTCATTGCTTCCGCTGCATCGTTGCATGGCTATGCGTGTACATACATACATACATATGCATAAACATAACTTCATGAATTAATAAATACATATATACATATGTAAGGACAGACGTAAATACGTAATACATAGTGCATACATATGCAACCGCCAAAATAACGAAAGCGACAGTTTTTCAAANCTATATCTCTTCGCAAGCAATTGTCTAGTAGCTAACAAAATTGGCCTCTCTGGTACCCTGTAAATATGTAGTATGTATATACATAATTTTGTATTTATGTAACTACATGCACAAATTTATTGCTGGCGCTATATTTTCCCACCTCTCTTTGGTATTTAAACGCGATGCAGCCGATGCACGCAACATACATATTTATGTTGGTATGGAGATGTACCTACGCACATGTGTGTATAAACTGACAGCACACAATGCAGTAAGCCCGCACAAAGTGTCATTGCTTCCGCTGCATCGTTGCATGGCTATGCGTGTACATACATACATACATATGCATAAACATAACTTCATGAATTAATAAATACATATATACATATGTAAGGACAGACGTAAATACGTAATAGCGCATACATACATATGTAACCGCCAAAATAACGTAACCGACATTTTTTCCAAGTGTTCTTTTTGATGCAGAAATACATCTAAATGCTCGAGGAATATTTCTGCATCAAAATTAAAATTTTCAAAAAAATGTCGCTTACGTTATTTTGGCGGTTAGGGCCGGATATATTAAAATGTACAAACTACAACCGTATGTACATATGTATGTGAGTATGTACATACATATGTACAAATGTAGGGTCATAACTTCGTAAACCGATGGGTACTGGTTTCTTGATAGTACGTTGAATGGGCGAGTTACATGCTCCCCGCGCCGGAGCCGAAGTTGTCGTTGCCATTGCTGTTGTTGCCATATCGGTCGCAACACTGTTGCCAACTTGGTGCTTTTCGCACTAAATTTATTGCTTTTCTGTATTTAAAACG